TGATGACGACCTCAATTACAAACCACGAAAGGACGTTAGTTTTGGCTTCGCAATACAATACAATGAGATACTAACCTTGTTGAGCAGATGAATAGCCATAAGGAATTCATGTTCATAATCAGATTCGAGTAACGAGACAGCGATCCAAAACACTCGGGTCACCATGTCTGCTTGACTCTGAGGATTGATGGCCTCAGAAGGTGTCTTTAGACACTGTACACTGACGCTAAACAAAAAAAAAGAAACAAATCAACAAATTTGTGGCATTTTTTTTCCCTTTCAGGTACTAGATTATGTAAGGCAACAATTTACTCAATTATCCATTTATTAGAAGGGGCAACCTTGGGTCCCTTTTCAAGAATGCATTGCCTAATAGTTTTCAAACCCTTTAAAAATTTGCGATTGATACATCAATGTTACCTTGATTAACCAAATGCCTTAAAAAAAACCTAAACAAATATTTTCAAAGGGAAAACGGAAACAACTAGAGGAAGCAACTGTCGTTCAAGTTCACTTTTCGAGAGAAAAACGCAACACGAACACGACTGAAACTTGCACAAAGAAAGAATTACATTGGCAGATGTCATAAGGATCGTAACTGAGTATTTCCAATGTTACCTTCTTGTTCTGAGATGAGGATCATCTCTGCTGCCGTTCAGGCGTCCGAACTGATTAAAAAGAGAAGAGTGCCTTTTCATCTCACAGCCACTACTGAGAGAACGAATGTGCCCGCCATGTCTAATTCTTGTCAGTGGACTAACCGATCCAACGTTTGAACTCAAAATGTTTAAGTTGATTCCATCAACAAAGTCTTCTTTTTCATCTTCCAAGTGAGACGTGAGCCCAAAATCCAGGCTACTTGACAACTCGGTCGTGTTTGATTGGTCCACGATTGTCCAATCAGAAGCGGCTTCTAGTGTCAGAAGGATTTCCATGACATAACCCTGAGAAGGAAGTGAATAAACCTACATTGAGCTGAATGGGCCGCAATGAACTCACGCATAGTTGAATGCACAGTTATTGAGAACAAACAAAGAGCACAGACCTTAACAGACTTTCGATTAAAACGGACGTGCTTACTATCCAAAGCGAAAACGCAATCGGCTTAATATTCCTTTCTACAACTAAGATCTCTGGTAAAGATCAACAGCTGAAGTGATGGAACTGTCTTGATCGACTTGAAAATTTCCCACCAGCAGTCTTTAAATGTTATGTAGTATGACCGCCTTTGAGTCACTCAGTTTCTTCAATTGAAATACATTCTTTTGCAGGTAATGGTGTGAAGACATGATAAACCTATGAACAACTTAAGCTATAATAGAATATACAGGAACTAAACATACCTGCACGTCTTCACTACCATCGCCAACAGACTCCACCAGCCTGGAGAGCACATCTGACAGCATGGACCAAGAGAAAGGTACCTTCAGAGCTCTGAACACCTGGAAGGACCTGCCAGCATAGTGCCTTGAGGAGCATGAAGTGGCCCACTGGAGAGCTACCTGAGCCATTTTCTCCTGTACTTTACTGCCGTGATCGGACGCTTGGAAAATCTGTACAACTGACGCTACAAAAAGCTCTAACTGCTCGGCGCTCTTGATTTTATATGAACGAGGAGTGATCTCTTCAAACGCCCAGAGAGGTTTACAATCGCTAGGAGAAACAGGAGAATGGCATGTTAAAAGCCGTATTCTGTGAACATAGAAGTGACTTATATCCCTTTTGTATTGTACCTACACTGATATAAGGATGTATTAAATCTTAGAAGAAAGTGGTCCTGACAAAAGAACCATTCCTCACCTGTTGGCTAAAAATTCAATCAGTTCTTGGATCTGCTCCACAAGCCTATTAGCAGTGTTTTCCTCAGGTGGTAGAGTTTGTTCCAGAGAACTGCTGCCAGCAGCAGACCTACAAAAAAAGGATCAGCAAGCAAAAAATGCTGTAAAGAGAAACTGCAAACAAATCCTGTATATCATGATTGATATACAAACAGCTGAAAACAACGACGCGGTGATCGATCGATGTGGGTTCACTAAACTCTCACAGTGCTTCCCTCTTCACAGGTGTATAACTTGCTGCGATAGACTAGTATGCCATCCACGAGTACCATACGGGATGGGACACCTACGCCCATTGTTGAATTCAACTTTTTCTTTATGTACGCCAAGGAAAAATATAACAAAGGATTGAAAATGTAGGGAACCTCTGCAGATAAAACTGCCCCGCATTCACTTTGTTGTCAGGGACTAGCACCGCAAAAAACCTCACTAACTTGTACTCGCGATAGCTCATGGGTTACATGGTTTATTTTACGATAGTCCGTGCAAAACTGTTGTGCTCCGTAGTTGCTTTTCAACGATCAAATGCCAGAAGTTTGGGCAAAGCACAGTTCACTTGCTAACTAACTCTTATTCCTTTACAGCATCGGAATTTCAACTTACCCGGATGTGCTAGCGCCTGCACCAGCACCATTACTCTCCACAGAAGGACCCTGTCTTTCATACTCGGCACCAGCCCCAGCGCCTGCACTGGAACCAGCTACACCTACGATGTTACCGACATCAAGTGTCCAGGAGGATTTTAACAGGCCATGCTTGCCAAGACCCTGTTCGGAAATTGTGATGAAGTTGAAGAGGGATTGGGCTAAAGATACGTGATCCCCTCGGCACACCAGTACAATGATGAGGTTGATTAATAATCTCTTGCTGTGTTCGTAAACCAAGGCTTTGCCGTGATCCAGAGCTGAGGAGAAAAACAAACGCATGTCATTAAGACGATCAAGTCATCAACATCCTGAGCATCGGAAAACACGTAATCGGATTTTAAACAAATGAACGTACACAGCACAGCGGTCTCGAAACCACTGCTGCATTTCGTACAAGGCAATATAGCGAGCTGAAGCATGTAGTACAGGACTCGTTGACGTAAGGCGGTCTCAGGAAGCCGTCCAGCCCCGCACATATTAGCAATCCATTTCACGCGCGCAATTCATCACATTCAAATGACAATTCAAACATTTCCCCTTCCTCCGTCCAGAACTTCCACTAAGTAAATTTGATTTCGCGTAATGTTAGCGCAAGTTACATGTATTACTGTCAGAGCAAGTTCTCATTGCGAGTATGCCACGTATCGACATTCCATTTTAATCTCAGCAAAGAGATCACAATACTTTGCATCAGCTCTTATTTACGTCCATACGCAGGAAGCGCAACTATTCGGTAAACTCACCAAGGAAAATAACATGAAGCATGAGAGGAAGATGTTTCTCCCAATCCACTGAAGCTTGGTCAAGAACTACTTCAGCTAGCAGCATCAGAGCAAAATTACACCTGAAAACAAACCACACCTGTCAGTTAAAGATACAGCACGCACAGATAACCCTAGGGATGAGACACACTAATGCAGACACCACAGGACTACAGACAAGGAGTAAAATAGGGGATTTTCTTCTGATATATTTGTTACAGTTTAGAGCTTTAACCTCAGTGCATTTGCTGATAGAAGTAGACTTTGACATGACGAGTTCACAAGCTTATGACATTACAGGGCAGAATGCTACCTCTAGTCCTACCTGTACAGTGAAGCCACATACGGTGCAAACGGCAGAATATCAGGAAGAGGCGCAAAATATTTCTCTCCCTCAGGGACTGGTAATGAGAGAGTCACACCAGCACTAACAAGCCTATGTGCCATGATGACCCATTCATGAGCCCAGGCCCCCTCGGGTTTCTCTCCCTCTACAATCGGATCTTCCTCTTCAGGCTCTGCTAGTGGCACAGTGGTTTCCAGAGGCTCAGACGTAAGACCTGCCAAGCGAATAACAAAACACTTTAGAATTCAGAATTGCTCACTTATCTTGTGAGAACAACAAATTTTTCAGTGCCAAAAGTTATAGATGACTCCAGTTAAACTTCTCTCTCTTCACACCATCTGATCATCCTGCCACTCACGTAAGACTTATGGAATTCAAACTCAGAAAAATTCATCACTGATATCAATCCGGTCGACAGTTAGGTGAACATGTTCAGAGTGTTGTGACAACGAAATCACTGGTTCGTAACGACAGTGAAGCCCCACTTGTGATCTATCATTATAAGGCTTTACTCCACATACACTCGCCGTTCACAAGAGTGAAGCCCCACATGTGATCCATCATTATAAGGCTTTATTCGACATACACCCGCCGTTCACAAGAGTGAAGCCCTACATATACGAGATCATGGTCAGATTGCACTGAACCACATACACTTACCACTGTCTACACCTCTCGGAAGCGAGTCGCCTTTTTCCTTCCTGTCATCCTTGGCAGTATCTCGTCTCTCTTCTCTTGATTCCTTTCTTTCGTCCCTGGATTCTTTTCTTGATAGTTCTTCTTCTGTTTTCGTGTCTTCTTTGGAAGCTTTCGCCTGGAGCCCAGTCTCCTTTTGAGTTGATGACCTCGTCCCTTCCCTTGGGGTGACGTCACTGACCGAGTCCCGACTGGTGGACGACTTTTGCAGCGGACGAAAAAACGGCGCGTCGTCACAGCGTTCAAACTGAGATGCCACGGTCTCTGTAAGCTGTAACACAAATTTCACTATGTCAGTCATAAGTTTAAGACTCCATTATTAAACCAAAAATAACCCGATGTGAACACCTTGTGTTGGTTGAATAATAAAACGAAATGGTTGAGCATGACACTTGCCAGTTACCCTTGAGATGAGTGTTAACAAACGTAACCAAACAAACATAATGACCGAAGATAAGACAGTTTTTTCAAACCTATGCCCCAAATTATTTTACGTCCATCTAATGAAGGATGCATATTCTCCTACCTTCAGTTCTTCCATGAGTTCCTCGACGGTCTTGTGTTGGTTTGCACGCGCCAAATACACTGCAAGCTTCTTGGCCTGGAAGAAATAAGGGTTGATTAGAAAATGAGTGCGCTTCTCGTTTGTCAGAGAGGTTGCTTAACAACAATGACATGTGCCAGTGCCTCAATTATGATGGGGTTTATTCCATGAAGAATACTTGCTCCTGTAATGATTGAAAATAAGAATCAAAACAAACGTTTGACTCACATGAACAAGTACTTCTGAACTACCAATGACGCCAGCAAGCGCTATGAGATAAGCCAGTATCTCATGCAGGTTGTTCACCCATCGACTGCCACATAAGTTGCCCCAGGCCTCCTCGATCTCTTTAGAGAACTGCTCGTCATACTGAAGACACAAAATACATGGAGTAAGTAACTACATCAATTCATTACCAAGTACGTTTTGCTTGGGTTAAGATGAAAATGAGGGAAAAAGGTAGGGCAGAGACCAACTCATAACTTGGCTTCACTCACAAACATCATTGTAAGGAAGGATCTCTAAGACTCACCTTAACAGTAATGTAGAACAGATTGTTAAGCACCAATTGTGTAGCTTCAACAGACCCCCACCCCTCCCCCTCTAGCTCTACAGGAGACATGGCACCGCTCTGTTCTTCTTCTTCTGTCTCTATGTTCAACTCAGGGGGAGTGGGAGAGGCGTTTGACAAGTCGACCAGCTCGATGTTCGCTAACCACGGGAGCATGTACTGCAGAATACACCGCTGACCCACGAGTGATGTCATCTCAAACCTGGCGGTCATCTCTGTTACAAGACAAAAGTATAGCACACATTAAACTCCCCTTACATTTAATTACTTTATTAACAAAAAATCTTTCCAAATGACGCTGATTTACGCCCCGTCTACACTAGGCCAAAGGAATTTGAAAACGGAGGTTTCACTCTGAAAACGCATCAAATATTTTCCGTCCACACTACGCTGGAGAAAACTAAACGCAACAATCACCGGTCATTTTGGACTTGTGTTTGAGGAAAACTTGGTACGGGAAATCACATGGTTATCGTAATGCCATCATTTAAGAAAAGCTCCGTTTTCAAAATGTTTTCCGTCCACACGAAAACGAAAACCCGGCGTTTTTCAAATTCCTCCGGTTTGAAGAGCGTTTTCGGAAAGCTCCGTTTTCGTGACGAATCAGTGTGGACGGATTAGTGTGGAGGTAGGCCTAACCGTAGAAATAAAGCTGCGTTTTCATAATTTCTCCGGCGTAGTGTGGACACTTCCTTGGACAATGTGTACCAGCCAATCATGAACCAACGCCAAGACTTCTCTTACACCACTTTGTGCAGCAATCCAAATAACAAAGAAGTTACATGTATCAGAACAATGGAACAAAGTCTGACACACCTTCAAACATGTGGACGGTGATTTCAGGGTGTGCTGTGGCCAGCGCTTGAGATAATGTCCTTTGGCACTGTGAGTAAGAACAACGGAACGCACAAGACAAGCTTGGTGTTGTAAAAGGAAAGAAACGCCTGTAGAACATCAAACAAAACAATGATATTGTAAAATCTTATCCAAACATCTTTTAGTAAATGTTTGCCTTAAGACCTCAAAAAGCTTATCTTGGAGGCTTACATCCTTACAGCCTTAAAATCTTACGTGGATGGTCAATGGAGACTCTACCATCGTTTTTCCACTACAACGGATGGTCAATGTTTTCTTCATGCTCGGCAAGTTTTGCTGTCAGCAAAGAGAATAACAAATCGTTCTACCTTTCAAGAAGCTGAAGCAATTGAGCCGCCTTCTCTCGGATGTCCAGTGAAGAATCAGCAGTTTTAAACAGCACCACATTCAGAATAGGTATCATTTCACAAGGATACTCACTGTTGATCAATTAAAAAATATATAATTTAGTATCTAATTCTTTCTTTGAGTAGAACATATTTCGTAGAGCGTTCAACTCAATCGATTGAGGAGCATCAACTACAACTTCAGAGAAAGTTCAGGTCTCATGAGTAATCATCGTTTTAATGCTGAACTTCTCTGAAGTTATAATTTAGTATCTATCAATGCCAGAAACAACAAAGGAAAGATTTACCATAGACTGCAATTCGTGCAACTGTTCACATTTAAAACTCCACTACGTGGATAAGTGTTGCTGTTAATGAATATTGCAATGCCATACTTTCCCAGAACAATTAGCAATTAGAACTCTAAGGGGCAGTAAAGGAACAGACGCTTGGGAGCACAACCAACAAACATTGTGTAGCTTGAGATAACAGACAATTTTTCGTCGGACCACGACCGCTTTAACTTAGGAACGTTTTTGGCGATGGAACAAGCACATCATCGCGCCTTTAGTTAGACGACTTTGTTGTTTGGTGTCGCTTTTTTATGACATTACTCCCAAATATTCTCTTTACTGCAAATGTATTCTTGACCAACTAACTCTGACTAACGGCCTTAGACGCAGGTACCAGTATTACTCAGGACTATATGCGTGTTCAGCTATTACTGTATATAGAAACAATTGAAAAACAACGTTACCTTCTGGTAAAAACAGAAACTAGAGCTTTGAAACAGCCGCTGACCACCAGCCTCGCACCAGTGTAGCACTTGTCTATTACCCAGTGGAGTAAGGACGGGATGTTAGCGTTGTTCTCCAGAAGATGTACAAGTGTAGCATATCCCAGCTGATGGATCTGACGAAAAAACAAGCAAGTGTAACGAACAATGCTGTCTCAGCAACGAAACTTTCATGTCTAAGAATTGCTGGCTAACTTTTGGAGCCAACTGGTAGATTTCCTTTTTAAACCCTTACCTTTTCCTTAGGTGAGTTGAGAACTGTCTGTAACCAGTTGTAAAGATACCCTCCAGTGATAAGCCCATTAGGATCAAAAACAGGACCACACTGTAACAAGCCACACATAGCCTGAAAGACAACAAGAAAACAAGGGTTACATACAAGTTTGTTGTCAAGAGCCATTCACATACATCGTTGGACCATTTAATAAAAGGACATTTCTAATCATTCTCCTAAAGGTATGGTTCCTACCCTGCTTGTGTCCTATTTCAGCCAGAAATGTTAATCGTAATAATCTGTGAGTAATTGAGAAAATCTATTACTTACATGAAGGGAAGCCAGCTCCAAATCATTGCTTTGCGCACTTGGAACAAGTGAGATTCTACAAATGACAATGAAACCAGAATGCCATTAATTGATTGAAATGAAATATAAACCCAACCACAAAAGCACGCGATATGACAGAGAAGCGAACATAGCAAGCAGTTTACTTTTCATGTCGAGCGGCCTTGACTCCAAAGTGAGCACACCAGCTACTAAACTGGAAAAACAGGTTGCAACGCATGTCATCAGGCAGAAGATTCCTCTGAAGAGAAGCTGTCGAAATAAAGAGAGTTGCAGTCAGTTGGACAAACGAATTGCTACGCTAAAGTACCTCACAGATGAACAAGAATAACTCCTCATTCCTGCGTGACTGATTAGCACAATCTAAACACGAACACGCTTAGCGGTCAATCTTCTGCTCTGGAAACGAAAGATTCCCAACGGCAATTTTTTTTAAAAGATCACGAAAGAAAGGAAGAAATTAATAAGCAAAAAAGTGACTCACCAGGAACCGAGGTGATCATTTTGTAAAGAAAATGGGCAAAGTGAACTCGCAGCTGCATGATGGCCGGCATGTCCTTCTCGCTTTCACTTTCCAAGTAAGACCTGTTGATAACAAGACGATTTTAAAATACTTTAAGTTCAAGACACAACGTCGCTATTTTAGTATGATTTGAGGAGGCAAACACTGTACAGCTTCACGTAGAACTGTACTCAACAACCAAGGATGGCAAACGACGAGGGCGGGGGGGGGAGCTGGAAATAGATATAAGTGCACAGACAAGTTGAACTTTATATCTGCGGATAACGTTGTAGTATCTGCACCTGTTCAATGTTTTTACCTTGTTCCTTCAATGTATTCGATAAATATTGGATGTAACCCATCCTCCAAAGCAAGCTCACTGGCACTAAATAAGATGAAGAACAAATGGTGAGTATAAGAGAAATATCTGTGATAGATGTCAAAGCATGAATCATGAACAATAACCTATGGCTGGTTACACTGAGTTTACTTGCAGTGAACCAAGTATAGGCGTATCTTTAAAAGTACCGCAATTTGCAATAAGCCCAAAAAGAAATCTGAGGCGTGATACCAGTTCCACAGAATCTTTGTTCAAAATCTAGAGGTTGCAAAACCAGACTCAAATCTAGTACTGTAAGCAGTTCACACGCTAACCTGTCACTGAAACAGCCATGCTCAGCATTGAGCTCAAATATCCTAACCACATATGCTCTCAGAACATCTCGCTTTCTTCTTCGTCTAACGCCCTGCATGCAAACACAAGGTACAAATAAATAGACTGTCTTGAACAAAAACAACCTGCAATTGCTTATTCCACCTACATATAATGTAGATTCGAAACCCTGAACTCTGCATTCTATCCGCTGATACAATGGAGATCTACGCGTCTAAACGAAAGATCTCAACTTGTAACAAAATGCAGGCATGAGAACAAGTTCTAAGCAGCCAATCAGAAACAGGATCGCTCCACACGCCCTGCACGAGTCAGTTTAAATTTTGTTTCCACCGCCGATAACGGCACAGTCTGATGATCGCTTCAAACTCAAATAACTGTCAACTACTGTGTAGTTTCTATCTACTTCGTGGTGATAATATATTTATGTACCCAGTTGAGAGAGGAAAAGCATTAAAGTCCTCATAAAGAAAGACACATACCTCTGCACGTCTATCAAGGACCTCGCGGAGGAGAAAGTGAAGTTCTTCAAGTAACTCTCTGGAAGGTATAGGAAAAAGTCATAACAATCATTGCACCTGATTTAACGATTCAACAAATACAACACTGCTATAACACCGAACTCAAATAAAGTCTGCAAACAGATCTATGACATTCAGTGTGTATGAGTCCAGTTAAGGCTGATGTCAAGCAAGAAAGATAGCATCAGACGAAAATATATCTCATTGAACAGCCAAGCCCACTAGATTCACATCTGTACGTACATGTACAACCACTTTCACTACTTAAGAATGAGTAGGACTACTCATAAAGTTACTGCTCATAAACTATACAATTGCGATTTTTACTTGCATAATTAACAATTAATGCCATGTGCAGTGTTTTACCTGTAAGAACACGGGCTAGTTCTACCAAGCCCAACGATGACTGCCTCCCTAATATCAGAACAGTCACTCTTCAGCAGTGGAACAGCAAAACGGAATAAACTGTCAACCATGCTAGGAGAAGGGGGCTGTGAAAGGAAAAAAAAATACAAACATTTTTTGTGAGTAAAATTAATCTGATATATATGTTGCTTGTACATCCAACAGATTCAGAAAGTGACTTGAAAGTGTAATGTGTTAGAAATTATGACACAAAAATACTGTTCCGTAAAACTCACTCTGGAATCGCCCTTGGTTTCTGAACCTTCTGATGATGCTCTGAAATGTATAGTACAGGTAGTTAAGTAATCTTATATCAGTAAATTAAAACTTAAGTCTGTTTCAAATCCAGAACGAGAATTGCCATTGTGTTTAACTTAAGGTTTCACAGCATTTCACAGCATATTAGTACTTGTACTATTCCTGAATGTGAGGATAAATGCTATTACAAATTTCTTACCAAATACTCTGTGGTAATCGACTTATATTAAAGCATGTATAGCTACCGCATTTTAAAACTCTACATAGAGCTTGCTCAGTTCGTATTCCAGAATTGAGGAAGCAATACTTTCTGCAAGTTTAACAGCGTTAAGAAAATTAAACATTGACTGACCCTCCGTCCTGTTCTGGAGAGTCGCTTCTGAGCGGAGGTGATCGAGGGTAAGCGCAACAGGCAAATATCAGGTAATTTCTAAACAAGCACACATGGTTCATGTTCATGGTTTTCTTTGGTCCTCTGCTGTACACAGATGATAGACTGGTGATGGAATCTATTCCAGAAGCACTGCAATCAAGAGAAATACCTCATGTCAGTAAATAGCTGTTACCTGGAGTACTCTGGGAATTACGTCTAGTAACTCTTCTCAGAGTTGTTGATATGCAACAGACTCTACGGGAGCACGCAATGAGCATTGGAACTGGTTTCAAGGGAGGTAGCATAGTCTAGTGATTAGCGCACTGGATTTGTAATCCGGAAGTAAATGAGTTATATTTTTTATTTTTTTATCAGTCCTGAGGTGAAGCAGCTTTAGCTCACACGATGAAAACACACATCTAACAAATCAGTAAGTGCACCGACTATAACTAGTATTCATTGCACTTTTTATTCCACATTCACATACTGAAAATGAAAGTGAGTTTTAATGTTTTATTCTGAGTGTGTGAGGAACGTTCAATTTGAATTCAGTTACTTAAGTGAACCAATATCACGAGCTCATACCCTGAATCAATTAACGAGTAAACAGTGAGAAGGCGATTGAAGACATTAGGCCAACTGTATTGCAGAGCAGAGGGACAAAGCTCAGGCAGATACCACTTGTTAAGAAGGCCTGCCATAAGTGATGACCAGAACAGGCTATGCAATGCGACATTCAGTTGTTCTCCTGTCTCCTTGTCCATGTTGCCTGACAAACGCTCATTCACAATTAAGATGTCCACATTACTCAAAGGTCCTGAGAAGAGCTGACAAAAGAGTACAATACTGATTTAATGGCTGTAAACTTGAAAATTTCAGGCAACCAGCAGTTTTTGAGACAGAGATAGAAGAGTGCAGTACCTTCTCACTCTGTGGAGTGGAATGCAGAACTTTCTCAAGGACTGTTGGAAACACTTGGTCTACCACATCAAGCACAACTTTCTCAGATTTTTCCTGGTGAAAACATAACAACCAAAAAAGTCAACATAACAACCAAAACGTGGTTGTCATGACATGATTTATATCTGGAATACTGAAAAAACTTTGCTGTGACACATATACATAACAACTTATCCATTGTTTTGTATCACTGAGACAACGATCATTGTATTTCAAGTAACAAGAAGTAAACTGTACTGTCAATGAAAGTCTCCAGTACCTTGTCAGTGAGATCCATTAAGCTGCATAAAACTCTGACTTCCTTCAGCACAAGAAAGGCCAGCTTTCGTATCACAGGGTAAATACTATTCAAAAACAAAGATCATCATTTGATGAGCAAGAAACTACTAACCAATATTATAATTATGATTGGCTTTCATCTATCATCCTTAATTATCTTTCCAAGAAATTTACACTTCTTGGGATAACAAATACATGTATTAGCATTCCAGATTTGCCTGAATCAACAACACTTTGTTTGCAAACTTAAAAGAAAATGCCTGTTGCAAACTTGACTTGACGAAAAACAAGATGTTTAATGTAGCAAAACAACAACAGGAAATAAGATGCAACTGTACCTGCACAGCATAACGAGGGCAAAACCTTCCACACTGTGAAGAACAGTTATCCTGTCAACTTCCTTGTCACTTGGCAGACTGTGGGCAGACAATTCCAGCTGCGCATCTTGTCCAGGCTAACAATACAAACACACCATACTTTTAGAGAATGACACATTTATTTGTACAGTACAGACACATTACACTGATACTGAAAATAGCAGCCCCAAACAAACACACAAGTCAGTAATTTAAAAAAAGAATTCTACAATGTATCAGTATAATTTACGTTTGTACACTCTGTACATGTATGTTGTTGGCATGATTAAAGGGGACTTAGAGAAAATTTATGAAGGGTGAGTTGCCAAATGGTTGGCACATAATTTGGACTGCCAATTGAGTGCAGATTATTACATTTACAGACGACAGGTATTACATGTATGTAAAATTCATGATCTGCATAAAAAACCATGTTGTTAATAAAAGTAATGGATCATTTTTCAAGTGCTGACTCACCTTATCTCCAGGACCAGCAGAGACGGCAGTCTTCCAGTGAGCTAGCAGTTGTAACAACATGCGCAGTGCACTGTCCAGCAATGACGGCAGGTTATCTTGGATCTCACGCAGAATAACGTTGATGAAGCCTGGGAGAGATTGTGTTTTAACAAAGTGTTATTACAAAGCTAATTCGACAAGAAAGAGTGCTTTGAGCTAAAAAACATGGGCAGGATTCATCTTTTCTTCTTATTATTTTGTACCTAAGACAGTGATTTCTCTCCATTCAGCAAAGTCAAGCACTAGTGATTGAAGAGATGAAAGGGCCAGCCTAAAAATAAAGAAAAGAAATTAGTTAATTAATATTAATTAATTAGAGCAGTTTTCAATTGAGTGTCATAAAACCAAAGCCAAACCAATTACTGACCAATTAGACTTCTGAGCCAATCTTAAGCCGTAGTAAAACCAAAACCAAAATCAAAACCAAAGTAATTACCTATGACTAATTACTTCCGACACTCAACTGAAAACTGCTCTAATTAAAATTAATTAACAAGGAATGAAACAAAGCCATTATAAATACCAATAAAGACTTGAACAGCAATAATGGCATCAGGTAATGCAAATAAGTTAAGGACTGTTTAATCTGAATGTAACATGTATAATAATTCAGCTACTCTTACCCTCTCAATTCTTCATCCATGTGCACAGTTAGACGGGAAAGAAGATCCACAAGTTCCATTTTAGTCATGCCTTCAGGAATGCACCTTTTGTAGGATAAACATTTAAGACGCAGTTGTGGTTAAGCAAAGTACAATGCCACATACAAAACAGGCAGATCTCTAGGACATTTTCACTTTGTTCTTCACTGAAGTTCAATAACTTAATTCTTTTACAAAACTTATTATATTTACGTACCTTGGTATGGCGGCAATACAAGTCCTGTACAACTCAATTTTTGGATCAACCTTTGGTTTTCGTTCACCCCTGAAGGATAAAACAGGACAACTGAAAGGGAGAAAATTGAGGAGAGGGGGAACGAACTAAAATATGCATCAAGCAACAGAAAACAGATCAGTCATTGCAAAACAATACTTACGCAGCAACTTCCTCTGGCTCCTTGTGAGAACAATGTGGGTTTGTCATCATCATGGGCCTACCAACTTGCGAATCTAATGCTCTTATGATGCTATCTAGTGCCTTCCGAATGCTGAAAAAAAGAAGACAGTCTTGAAGTTAATATAAATTAAACATGTTTAGCATTTCTCTGCAGAATTGAGATTTCTATCTCTCTGTCAAAGCAAAGGGCAACTACAACCTTGCACCCAAAGTCTTTGTTTCATTTGACCAGCGGTCAGGAAACAAGCAACCCCGGAAAGACCCAATTTGAAGTCCAAAAATATCAGACTTCTGGTTGAATTGCGCATGTCTAGCTGACAAACATGTGGCTCAATCAAGAGGCTGACGGTTTACTTCCCTTCAATTTCAGTGGTTTTAAGACCAACTAAAATCTAGCCTGTAACAGAACTCACTAGAGGCGCTTGTTTCATCAAGCTTGTGCACTAAGGAACAAAGACTTGAGGAAGGAAACTTGGGGAAACAAGACAACTATCAAGTCACTTGAAGTCAAGAACAAGTTTTTTTGAAAATATCCTGCATTGGCTGATCCATTGTATTGATAAAACTGACAGTTCAAAAGCATTCGCATACCTGTGGTAATAGTTTGCTAGTCCAATACTGCTTGCTTGACTCTCGGTCAGATTCTTCATGGAAGCTACTCGTCGCACTCTCACAGTATTGCCAGATGGTAAAGATGTAGTGGAAGTAGGCATTGCTGGTGCCTCAGCACCCTTTTAAGAGAAATTAAGCGAAAAATGGTAACAAAGTCATGTACATGTAGTAATCGGATGGTGCGGCAATCAAAGCCAATAACATTATTTCCTGCATGCAAATATACATGCAAATAGCTGCATAATTTTATGCTCTGTGGCAAGACAGGTTCTAGATACTATGGCGGATGCTACATGCAAGCCACACCACTCAACTAAGTTTTGTAATGATGAGCGCAATAAGAACAATCTGTAAGTCATTTCAGTTACCCAGCAGTACTTATGGACATAGCAAAAATGATGGCTGCTTTACCCACCTTTCTTTGGAGGCCATCAGCAATAACAAAAAAAGCACGAAGACCAATGTTCATTCTCTACAAAAAACAAAATGAATTTACATAGTTACAATAACTGATGAGTGCAAAAATAATGTACTTATACTTGTTAAGAAGTGCATCAAATCAAGAATTATTACTAAACACACATTAACACTCAAACTCAGATTTAACTAATAAAACTAAATAAATACTACACACTCAGTAGAAATCATTTTGGAATACAATTTCACAAGCAACACAGACAGAACACAAAAGTATTTTTGCTCGACCACTGAAAATTAAAATGTCTCAATTCAAGGGTAATAATATTACATGAAGTTTCCAAAATTTACTACGAAAATAAGAAGTAAGCCAAGTCAAAGATACCTCTGGGCTTATGGTCCTCGTTGTTCTGCCAATACTAAGTAAATCAAAGATGATGTCATTCATGGCAAAGTCCAGCTTCTCCTGCATAATAAAAGAGTCCAGTTAACAACACAGTAATTCAATCTTTAAGTAGCATTTTTATATGTAACATGAACAATCTGTAGTAACTTTCAAAAACAATTTCCAAACTGAGTGAAGCATAACCTCAGGCTTGAAATATTTAGCTGTAGTGACTTTCAAACCGTTCATTACCTGAGCAATAAACTGTATAATCTTCACAAAGTAGTTCATGGGGGCTTCCCTTGGAATAACAGCACGGGAACCCCGCGGAAAGAGCACATCAGTGATGCTTCGTAGCCGGCTAGAGGGAAATGAAGGAAGGTTAGGAAAGACGGCGATGACATAAATTGCTCCACTAGGAGACTAAAGGAATAGAAAGACAATGATAATTATTGGCAAGTGACTGCAGACACTATTCAGCATAATGCTATATGATCTTCTAAGTGAAAGATAAAGGTACGCTAAGGCTCAACTGGCCAACATTACCAGAACTCACTCTAGTTTCCATAGCATTAAAGGACAAGGAGAATTCCTACTTTCCTGAATGTGATG